CTAGTTCGTGCCCCGTGTAGCCGCGCGGCACGGGGTTCGAACGAGCGGGGATTTAAAAATGGCGGAGCCCCGCTTATGCAAATGAAGCCCGGGAAATTCAAATCCCGGGCTTCATTTGCAATTGCGGTATGCCTACATTACCCTCCTATTTCGAATTAGGAGGGTAGTGTAGACATACCCTTGATTGCAGAAGTGGGTTCCTGGATGAGTATGATGGAGGTGTGCTGTGTTTTTGCTGGAAAGAATTTGTTTGAGGTTAGGAGGTTGTCTGTAGGAGAGGATTGGCCTGTCCCCTAAGGCCTGTGAGAGTGAGGGGTTGTTTTCCAGGATAGGTGTTGTAGATGGTTGATAATGAGTTGGAGGGGTTTAAATTGGGGGGGCTGTAGGTGATGACAAGTGGTTTTTCTCAGGGCTTGACAAACGGCAGTGAAACTTACTTGCCAGCCCCACACTGCGCATATGCAAGACCCGCATTGCGCATGTGCATGCTGCCGGTGAACGGGGCAACCGGCTGAAATCTACTCGCCACGGGCGAGTAGATTCAGTGATTTGTCGAGCCCTGGGTGTTCTGTTGTTTTCTTTGTTGGGCCTGTCTTGAATAAGCTGATGTCTGGGTACTCGTCTGGTTCTGTCAATCTGGGTATGTCTACACTACAGCACTAATTCGAACTAACTTAATTCGAACTAGTGCATCTAGACCTAAAAACTAGTTCGAATTAGCACCCTGAACCGAGGTTAAGGCTGGCCGGAAGCAGTGCCGGCAGGGCATCAGATTAGGATTTAGAGCGTGGAGCTGCTGTCTCAGGCTAGCCGAGGGCTGTGCTTAAAGGGACCCGACCCCCACCCCGGACAGACAGTTCTCAGGGGTTCCCCGCTCACTTGTCGAACTCGATGGAGGACAGCAAAGCAGTCCTGTCTTGGAGTGCCCTGAGTGCCCACACTCGGCACATCACAGCACTCGGCCATCAGCCCGGCTGCACTTGCCGCAGGCTGCCATCTGGGGGGGGTCAGTCGGGGGGCTGCAGGAGAGCTTCCACCCCAAGGAGCCCGCAGAGCCACCCCAGTCCTCCCCATTGGGGGCTCGTACCCCATTCCTCCCTCACCTCCTTCCACTTACCCCTCCCTAGCCCCCCTTCCTGATGTACAAAATAAAGGACACGTGTGTTCAAAAATAGAAACTCTCTTTATTGAACAAAACTCGGGGAGACTGGGAAAAGGAGGTGGGAGAGGGGAAAAGAGAGGGTGGGAGCGGGGAGGGCAACTAAAATGATCAGGGGTTTGGAACAGGTCCCATATGAAGAGAGGCTAAAGAGACTGGGACTTTTCAGCTTAGAAAAGAGGAGACTGAGGGGGGATATGATAGAGATCTATAAAAGCATGAGTGGTGTGGAGAGGGTGCATAAAGAAAAGTTCTTCATTAGTTCCCATAATAGAAGGACTAGATGACACCAAATGAAATGAATGGGTAGCAGGCTTCAACTAATAAAAGAAAGTTCTTCTTCACATGCATAGTCAACCTGTGGAATTCCTTGCCAGAGGATGTTGTGAAGACAAGGACTTTAACAGGGTTCAAAAAAGAACTAAATAAATTCATGGAGGTTAGGTCCATCAATACTTATTAGCCA